GTTTAGTTCTACTTGTTTATCCCTAGTGCAGTTACAGCAGATGGGCTGCTTGCCACGATGCGGGCATTCTCTGAAGGTGTGTTTCCCTGCACACTGACTGCAGGTGCTCTCGGCCTCTGGACAGGTTTTGGTGGAGTGTCCGAACTTACAACACTTGTAAGATGGGGCAGAAGTCGGCTACACGGCACCTGGACCATTCTATGTTAACTTTTTTGGCAGTTATTAGTAATTTTCTGAGTCTGGGTGTAACCTCTACTATCCAGTTCTTGAAAGCACTGTCCTTTTTGCCAGTCAACTTCACTCTAAATTCTTCTTCAAATTGACTACGCTCGTAAATTTCTTGAATGACAGAGTTTTGGTCATAAATTTTTTGTGGTATGTCCTCAGCATTGCATTCCTGTGATACAGAGATGATACTAACGTGAGGTTTCCGCTTTTTTGGTTGTCGTGTATCGAGCTCAGGTAGAGTTTCTTTTATCTTGGCCTCAAGGATTGGGATACTGTCAGTTTTGTCCACTTCTATAGCAATGCCACCTCCTCCTATACGTCTAATTCTCTCGATGCCAATTTTGAGATCGGAAGGTCTAATGGTAGTTTGTATAGTCTTTTTAATGCTATCGCTATTCTGTGCATCTCCTTTATCATAGACCAGTAGGACATTCTGTGAGGTAGCAGTTTTTTTAATGTTACGGGGGTAGTCAATGACTTTGCCTGATTTTAAGGCCATACTATAAGTCATATGTTGCTGGGTGCTGGCGGGACTTTTCGAAGTAATCGTATCCAGCTTCTCAATTAGTTTATGTTGAGTTTCAGCAAGGTCTCCGCCAGGGTTGTTTTCAATGAGTTGATCTAGTTTGTCAGTGATCCCATCAAGCTTTTCACTTATTCTGTTACTTCCATAGTTCGCTATGAAGATGTCGATTATGCGTTGGGCACAACCAATGACAAAGTCTGCGTGCCCCCTTCCACTGAGTTTAGCATTTCTGTTGTCAGTGATGTACTCTTTGAGTTCGTCAAGAACATTGTAGGCCAATGTACGAGGATCAGAAGTTTCATCCAAGCTGCTACGCATTGTGGAGTTTGTAAAGAGCCAACCAGTAAGAGTGTGGTGTAGTGGTTAAAGTGTGGCCCAGTGCCAGAGGGACTCTGCACTCAAAATCAAAAAGATTTACAAGCGCAGAGCGAAAAGATAGAAGCTGGTGGCTCCAAGACAAGAAAAACTTACTTACCAGCAGTGGGAAAAAAATCAGTTTGTCGCAGTGTTGCCAAGAAAATTACACAGCCTGGGTGAACACGCTAAGTAGGCCGCTAGCACCTATATGATAGATACCTGGAACCCCAAAAAAAATCAAGGGAAGGGACAAAGTTACCATGAGTCCAGCCACACCAAAGAAGGTGAAGTCAGCTTCTTATAAGGGTGCTGCTGATGTAGAGATAGCCAAGCTAAGCTTGGCTTGAGTCTTCTTAGGTCAGGAAGACTTGACTGGTGTTCCAGTTGAGCTCAGACAAAACTGTCTGGTCCCCCTGTACTGCTGCAAGTGTTGACAAGAACACCTGTCAACACGGACAGTTCAGGTGGATGGGGGGACTGGTCTGCTTATTAGCGGGTCTCCCCAAGTAATCCAAAAGCAGTTGATGGTGTCATTCTTACAGCACAGTTACAACACTACTCAGGTAATCCACAGAACACATGACAAGACAGGCACAAATGATGGAGCACAACACGGCTAACAAATAACTCCACAAGAACAGGACACTAACTCCACTGCAGGAAGCCAAGATGGAGGAACCACAAAAGCACTACCACTTCTAAATAAAACCACCTAAAAAGTTAGGCTTGAAATTGCTGAGCCTAAAAATGGTCAACACCCTATACCTAATTATGGGAAAGAGGTTGCTAAGCCTGAAACTAGGGTTAACTAACAAAAACACTGGCTAAAACTGTAGAGCAAAGAAAAGCACGTCCTCACACCTTGAAGTCTAGACTCGAATTCGGAACAGCTCAGCAAACCGCGGCCGCGATTTCTGATGTTATTTTTCTGCGAAAACTTCGCTGAACTTTGGAGACATCATTAATATAAATAATTGTTATGGCCGTTGAATAAGAAATGTTTCTTTTACAAGAAATGTATAAAATTACAGTACTGTATTAGACTTACTGTACCTAATTCACATACTGTACAGACGATAGTTCGCCTAAACTCTCCGTAGCGTAGCGCTAGACGGCGGAAAGTATATATATAATTATAATAAAGTTACAATAAATTAAGTTAATATATAATTATATATACAGTACCTAATTTATATATAATTTATATATAATTATATGCACAGACGATACTAAACTCAATTTATCCGCCTAAACTGTCCGTAGCGTGGCGCTGGACGGCGGAAAGTAGTTCGGCTGCTCGATGACGTTTTATCGAATTATAGGAGGTTTTTTTACCGTTGTTTACAAATACCGTCGCAATTTTTTCGCCGTCTTATAGGAATCGTAATTATAGGAACCAGTCTTATAGGGGGATCTACTGTATATACGAATGAATCGTACAAGCAAAAAAAAAAGAGGTCGACAGGTCACGATATCCACGGGTAAAATTAACAGTCCACCCGGACGGTGAGTCGATTCCCGGACTGCACTGTCCGGATGGTAACACTATTTTGTGCTCATTTCACTCGGTCCGAATCGTAGGTGCGACGAAAATATGACATAAAATGGTTCAAATTTTTACAAGATATTATTATTATTTATTGTGAAATTTTGCAGCCCCCTAAAAAGTGACGCCCCTGCCGCCCCCACTACGCTACGCCACTGTAGATAGAGATATAGATTCAACCTTTTGAGCAGACTTTTCATCGAATACAGATGAAACTGCATCTTTCAATGTAGGTTTTATCAATGATTCACCAATAATGTGTGCTTCGCCATGAAGAGAAATATGGTAAGCTGCTTTATATGATGCTTCAGTTGCATTTTTATTGTCTGTTCTGCATTTCTTCATCATGAAATTTGTAGTTTTATTGAAACTTTCATGTTTTCTTTCAAAAAAAGATTTATCCTTATTTTTATAGACACTATGCCTGGTTTCCATGTGTCTTTGCAACTTTGCTGATGCCAAAGAACTGTTAGCTACTCTTGTGTGACAAAGAATACAAATGGCGTCTGGGGCTTCTTCACCATCACCAGCTTTCTCATCACCATCACCAGCTTTCTCATTTTAGTAGTAAAGCCATGTGACAAATACTGAGGATCATACTTGCGTTTCTTTTTGCCTGGCTGCCGTTCAGAACAAGAGGGAACATATTCCGTGTGTTTTGAACTAGTAGTTGCAGATCGTTCTTTTGCAAGTTCACCTTTTTCTTATTTCCTTTGGATGTTGTTGCTTTACTAATCCTTTTTAACCATCAATCCATTGCAGGACTTTAAAAATAGTAAAAATAATTTGTTGAGTAGAAGAAATGCTTGTGGTAACAGTAGAGCAGCATAACCTTCCTGCACAAGAATTGGCGTGTGTAACTAACCGACAAAGCCAGCCATCACCAGTGTTGCCAACTCTTAATAATCTAGTCTGACAACACTTGCTGTCAGTGGGAATTCATTGACATCATAAGATATGATATGTACCGATTTCTTATGTTATTATTAAATGTTGCTTTTCAATGTAACTTTACGGAACCCCTGACCTTGCTTCATGGAACCCACTTTGAGAACCACTGCCCTAGACCAGAGATTCCCAACCTGTGGTACGCGTACCCCTAGGGGTACACGATAGGTTGTTTAGGGGTACAGAAAAAAGTTAGTTATTATGGCAGAAAAAATAATATATTATGTATCACAAACTAATAGTATTAAAAAATTATTAGATAAAAAATGTTCCTTGCAACAATCACAACTTTATTATACATTTTTTCTTTTAGATTTTTTCTCTTTAATTTAAAGTTACAATATGTAAAATTAACAATATGGTTACTCACTAAATTTCTTAAATGAGGGGTACAATCTAGAGATATGACATGTCACGGGGTACAATCCAGAGATATGACATGTCACGGGGTACGCTAATGAAAAAAGGTTGGGAACCACTGCCCTAGACAATCACTGACTGATTGCCCCTGGAAGTCGGCTTCTTACAAAAACACAGCTTCCCTATCATCAAATGGCACGGCACGGCACGCCACTGTTAGAGACATTATTATTAACAGTTATGAGGAGTGAGGAAAAGTGCAAAAATTCACAATGAAACAAAAATCAGCAAATTATGATTTGAAAAACATGGAATTCAGTAGTGAAAAAATAAAATTACATTAAAATGAGATCCGCTGCCTTTTGATAAACACGTTTTTAACATTAGCGGAAAAATCCTTAAAAATCCAGCAACGAGTTGCTTAACTTTTCAGGCAAAATTTGATGACTCCATCTGTTATAATATTTTATTAAAATCTTTTTATATTTTTAACTAATATAAAATGGCAATAAACTTAATTTCGGTGGGTAGGGATGGGTTTTATAATATAAAAAAAATTGTTAATGCTACTAACGAGTAAAGTTGTAATTAAATCATGACACACGATCCCCTTTATCTCTTCACCCTGTTGACATTTAACCACTAAAATTGAACAGCACCAATCGTCCTAATACACAAACCTTCCTGTAAAATTTCAGAAATTTTCGACAAAAAGCATAGGAGTTATTAAATTACAAATAGGGTGAACAAAATCGTGCCACAAACACATACAGTAGTACACTAACATCCATACATACAGAAAAAAAACCCAAATTTTCTTTTATATTTTTCGGCATTTCAAGATTTCCCGAGTCCAATAATGTAAAAATTTTGGGGGATTATTTTTTGACCGATTCCATACTTTCCTTCTGTTATTTATAACAGATGTGTTCGTGATAATAACAACGTAAAATACTAGTAGTATATGCGTATCATGCTAGTAGTATTCATGTAATTTATATACACACAATACACTTTGCCGATTACGGCGTCATCTAAAGAACAAAATTGGAAACAAAATTTGTTAGCCGTTTCTACACGAGAGGAGGGGGAATTAAAATTTAACGGTATTTAAATAAAATTATTATTTTAGAATATATAATTAATTTTTTTTTAATCCGAGAAAGGATAACATCGAGTCTTATCTGAGAGAGTCAACTGTTCAAGGACGGTGAGGTGTCCCGTTTATATTTCATTCCCGTCCTGTAAATTTATTAGTAGAGATACAGTACAGTTTAATCTAAAGTCATGAGTCAAGTACAGCTCTCAAACGGTTATAAAGTTCCATTAGTTGGACTAGGAACTTGGAAAGTAAGTGTTTATAAATACGTTTTTTTTTAAATAATAAAATAGTAATAATATTTTTTTAAAAAGACGAGTATTTTGGTTGGCTTTTTCTTTTTTGTTCGTCTGAGTTGTAGGCGAGACAAGGAACATATACATCTATCGCAGCAGTTCTCAACCAGTGGTACACGTACTACCGTTGGTACCCCAGAAAGATCGTTAGTATATACGGAAGGCTAAGATGGTATGCGAGTGAAAAATGCTTGAGAACCTCGGGTGTAGTGGAATGTCTAGTAGAATATACAGTTTAAAACCGGTTTCCATTTAAAAATCAGTTATAATTAAGTGCTGTTTTTGCAAATTCGAATTTTCGCTTATCGTTTGCTTTCTAAAAATTTTAGTAATTTTATACTCTCTTTCTATTTACATATACATGACAGCTGTGTATGTAAATTAATTTATAAATATCTAAAGACGAATATACAATTAAAAATTCTATATAAAACGCAAAAGAATTACGAATGTAAGCCATCATTAATTGGATTTGTAAAAAGGACGTGTTATGAATAGGCATTTATAATCTGTTCTTTTTTATACGCTCGATTAATGATACACATTCATGTGCAAAAATTAAGCCATAGAGAAAAAATAAACTGCTGGAAAATTTATGAACGTTTTCAGACAAAAATACTCGGAAATGTAATACAATGTCCCATTAAAATCGCGGTTTATGCAAAATATACAGATATAAATACAACAGTATAATGGTATTGTTTCCGTTGCAGTTTATCGAGGACAGTTTGTTACCGTTTTGCAGTATTGTATAATACTGACAATTATAATGCCCCATGAACGATTTTGTGAAAGGAAAGTTTATTGGAAGCAGTCCAGTTGCAAACAAATGTGCCTAGGACTCGAATGTACTGCAGAGCTTTACGTGAGATAGATTTCAAAGAATAGTTTCGACTTCCATCTCTTGAACGTCCAAGAATTATCACCCCTTAATAAGACGTTAACAACACGTTATGCACAGCTTTGCAGAAAGCGTTAGCAGCTTTCTGCAAAACTGACTAGGGCCACTGGTGTTGGTTTTAATGGTCTTATTGTCAGTCATCCAGTACGTTGCGTTCCATTAATGCCTGTGCATCGAAGAGCCCATTTAAGATGGTGTCAAAAACATACTTTGAATGAATGGGTTAATGTTCTCTTCACTGACAAGTCCGGGATTAGAAACTGGAAAAAACGGAGAATCCGATAAAGACCCCAAACATCGTAGAAACTAGTTTGGAGTTGGCGGTATTATGGCCTGGAGTGATATTATGCTTAATGGCCGCAATGAGCTCCACATTTTTGCAAGGAGTGCTATTACTGAAAGAAAATACAGGGATGAGATTTTGGAATCTGGTGTAAGACTTTTCCGAGGTTTTATGGGTGAAGATTTCATTTTCACGGACGATAATGCCGTGTACACAAGGCTGCATTCGTCAATGGCTTTCTTGACACGAGTATATTCGTCGCATGTCAGCAAGATCTCCGAACTTAAATTCTACAGAACGTGCAGGAATTTGTAAGGAGATGAATTGCATCCTATCGGCCTCCATCAAGAACACTCCAGAAATTTCACGATGCTTTTGTTCAAAAATTTATTTTGCTCCCGAAAGAGTTAATAAACAACGATATGAGTATGCAGCATGAGTAATTGCTGTGTAGCGTATGTGCACGTATGAGGCACACGCCATATTTATTATTTTTTGTGCAGTTAGATTTACGACAATGCTTAGTACTTTTTCTTGCTGATTTTACTTTCATCTAATTTACATTAAATTTTTGATTTTAAAAACAAATTCAATCTAAATTAGATGTTCAAGAATTCAATGTTCTGCTTTTATGTTAAGTGTCATATTGTTCTGGTAGTACATCCTGATATGACTTTGTTGTGTTTCTGAAGTGTATGAAAAAGGACAGATTATGAAGACAATCTTTTAAATATTTTCAGTGTTTCTTCTATTATTCAGTGAGATAAATTATTTTAAAAATCGATAGTAAATTAAAATTTATCAGAATTTTCTTATTGTTATTGCAGAGTAAACTCGGCGAAGGAAAGCAAGCTATTAAAGATGCGATTGAACTTGGTTATCGACATATTGATTGTGCTTTATTTTATGAAAATGAGGAAGAAATCGGTGAAGCAATTAAAGAGAAGATAGATGATGGCACTGTTAAAAGAGAAGAATTATTCATCACTAGTAAAGTAAATTATATTTGTTATTAGAACTCTAATATTGACGGGAACTGAACTTTTTTGTGTTAAGATTCTTTACTTTTTCTTCATCGTTCCTTAATTCAATAATGTATGCATTTCTATGAGAAAGTATTGGAGGAATATTGTATTGATAATATGTATTTATAATTGTTAATGTTATTTTGAATATCAATAATAACTTTAATATTCTCAATATTAAATTACTTAATTATAACAGTGTTGGAATACCTATCACTCTAAGGATAAAGTTCTGGAATCTTGCCAGAAATCATTAAAAGCTTTGAAACTAGATTATCTCGATCTCTTCCTTGTTCATTGGCCAATGGGCTATAAGGTATTTATATTCTGTTTCATTTAATTGAGAATAAAATATTCATATACAATATATAATATTTTAATAGAATATCATTTAATGTCTTGTTTAGGAAGGTGATGATTTACTTCCAAAAGATGCAAATGATCACATCCTATTCAGTGATGTCGATTATCTAGAAACTTGGATGGTATTATTTAATGAATGCCAAAAGAAAAAATGTATTTGTTGTATATAATTTGAAAATTAAAAGTAATTACATTATTTAATATTACCTAGGGGATGGAAGAATGTCATAAACGAGGATACGTTCGGTCTATTGGAATATCAAATTTCAACATTAGCCAAATTAAACGATTGTGGGAAAATGCAAACATAAAACCCGTTATGAATCAAGTAAATGTGTATTAAATTATTTAATTTAATTGTGAAATGTAGTGTCATTAGAAATCTTAAATAAATGAAGATTAATGATTATTTCCATCATTATTTTCATAGGTAGAAAGTCATCCCTATCTTAATCAGTTAGAATTACTGGAATTTTGTAATCGTTTGAACATTAAAGTTACTGCTTACTGTCCTCTTGGAGCACCATATCGATATGGGTAAATACAGTATTATTTTATTCTCTACTTTTAAATATATGTAATTCAAAAACCAAAAAAATAATACATAATATTTTTTATATTGGGAAAGGTTTAGAGTTTAAAAATCACAATGCGAAGCGATATAGTCTATATAGAAGAACTAATTTTACTCTATTCTCAAAGTGTAAATCTATAAATTATTATACAGAATTATAAAGAAATCAGTGATAGTAGGTTGCCTCAATGTAATATAAAAATGCTAGCTGCTGAATATTCTCTAATTACTTGCGATAGTTATTGGAGATATTACAACTATCTTGTACGCACGAATTGCCAAGGACAGTATTTGATTTTTTAGCACCGATGTTTTCAAAACAGAGCTTTTAGTTTTATCTCCAAGGGAATGGGATATATCGGAAAGTATTTCCATTTCTGCCGTTATGATATTTACTGAATATTTAGGCTTTAATTTGCTCAATAAGACATCAATATTGTGATCCATTAGAGTAACGATATGGCTAAAACTTGAGATGAATTATTTACTATAAATTGCTTATCATGATTGTTGATATCTAATTGATGAACAACACTATTTTATCAAAATATTTTTAGTAGTAAACCGGGTGAGAAAAATCTGTTAGAAGATCCAAAACTCAAAGAAATAGCTTCAAAGTATAACAAAACAACAGCTCAAGTATTTGTATATTTTATATATCTTTTATCATAATTAAAAGCATGTTTATAACTTATAATAATTTAAATAGGTAGCACTTCGTTATCAAATTCAGAGAGGAGTTATTGTTATTCCAAAAAGTTCAAATAAAGAGAGATTAAAATCAAATATTGAGGTAAAAATTTGTAAATTAAATATCAAAATATAATATAAATTTTATATAATTTATAAGATAATTTCGATATTTTTAGATTTTCGATTTTCAACTTAGTCAAGATGAAATGAAAGCAATTGAGGGATTGAATTGCAATATTAGAACATGCCCCATGATTGAGTATGTAATTATATAATTTAAAGATTGATATAAAAGTTTTGACACGATTTTTAAATATTATCAATATATATATATATATTTATTTTTTCCAGAGTAAAAAACCATCCTTATTATCCATTCTGAATTAAACAGAATAACAGCAATTTTCAATTGAAATTTAATGTCAATCTACATCGTTTTCTACTGAAATTATTAGAGGTCAAAAGGATCTTACCAGTAAGCCCAGTAATGGTAATTAATGTCAATGAATTTTGATAAACTGTAATTTATATTCATATATTAATAAAACACTAACATACAGTATTGTGCTATATGATTTAAATTAACTCATAATAACACTGATGATGATTAATTTTTTAAATGAATTAGTTGCTATTATAAATTAAAATATGCACATTTCATTAAACGTTAATGTTAAGATTTTAGATACAATTTTATGTACAAATATGTTTTTCAAATTCTTAAGTATATAAACTTTTGAAAATAAGAAAATATTCAAATATCTTTAGTACAAATTACCTTTATTTTAAATTTAGAAAAATCATTTCAAAAAAACATGTTTTTTTTTTTAAATTAAAAAATTTAAGCAGAAATTCATAGAAAACAAATTCAAAATTTCCTGTATGTCGGAGATTCTTCATCTAAGAGCTTGGACGGATCCAACGACTGATAATAAGTTTTCACCACTACGAAACAAATAATCTGAAAATTAAAACAAATTTTTTTATTAAATTATGAATTAGTTCTTTTAATATACTTTATATTCCGTTAAGGGATCTAAAATAGTTTATATTAATCGATATGCAAAAAAAAACCTTCAAGTACATTTTCGGAATACACGTAAAATATGCAAGGAAGAATACTTATATATATGATGTATATGCTGATGTAATTTCCAAGTATTTGTAAAAACAGTTCTATTTTATTTAAAAAAAAATTACTTACATTTAACCCAAGTAAAATGATAGTTATTGCAAAAGGAATAAGATATATCTGAAATACAGATTAAGAATTAAATTTCTTTATACTTTATATCTGTATTTTTATATATTTTATAAAGCATACCAGTTTCAATATAATGAAAGTGATTATTAAAAAGAAAATAGCTCCAGCACACTGCAGAACGATTACAATAATTATCCAAATCATCCAAGGTATTAACGCTCGACGTTTTTCCTTTAAAATAATAGAAATATTTAAAATAGATTTATTTGGAATCCAAGTGTTATTTAAAAATCACATACCTTAGTCACGGCATATAACAGAATTAAGCTTAGAAGAAGAAAAATTACCATGAATACGAAAACAGAAATTAGACTGACGGTGTCTGTTTCAAAAAGAATGAATGAATATTCTTAATACTAAATAAGTACCACAGAATATTTAATATAAAACAAATTTAAAAATGCTTATATAGTCCTATATTAGCAATTACTTACATGCGATATTATTGGATATACTGTAATTAAACTTGGAATATTCCACAGATAAAGTAATTATACTAAGAAACGATGTAATCTGCAAAAATCAAATTTTCATTAAGATAAAAGATAAATAAACTGTACAAATTATTTTTACATACATTAAAAACTGCAATTATTCTGTAATTTGAGAAAATTAATTTATGAAATGAATGTACAGTAGCTATACTATGCCATTAAAAATAAAGCGCATTACTATTGGTGGAGCTTGGAAAACATCAACAATTTTCTTGGCGAAAGTGTGCTTCGAGGGATTTTTTTTTCATTTTATAGTATCGGAATGTTCCAAATTTAATTGTGACAAAAGAAATACATCAGTTGGTACGTTCGCCATAAAGTTTAGTACACAACCTTCAGATGCTGTTCGTTGGAAATGTGATGGTCCTGGTAAATTAAATTATCGAAAGGATCGTGTTTCTTTTCGATGTCATAAATGCAAGATAAACAATTGGTCATTTGAAGTAATTTTTAAACGTAAATTTGGGAAAATTTCTTGGGAACTACTTTTTCGTTTATTTGGCATCTAATTTGCATAGAATTCACGTTGAGTGTGTACCTGTTTGGCTGTGGGCGTGAGTAGCCGAACAGCTGTTGAATGGACGAATTTCGTACGACACGTTACGATTGTTTCATCGTTTAATTTTACCGGAACGGAAACTGGATGGACCTGGAAAGGTTTTCGAAATCGACGAGATTGTTGTGAGCAAAATGAAAAATCTGGGAGAAAGGTTCGACCTGTTTATTCGGCATACGAGTAAGTTTTATCCGGGAGCGAGAAGTGTTTTAGTTCGGAAAGAGCCAGATATTGTACCTTCAGTCATGGAAGTAAGTGCCAAATAAATCCGAAAATCGTAAGAGACATTTGCATTAAGAATGCGGGAAAAGTTTCTACGATGGAAAAGGACGAGGTTACGATAGAATCATCCGAACCATGTTTTTTACCGAATAAATCGAAGAAAAGAAATTAGAAATACGTCAACGGTGAGTGAAAGATTATTTCTTTAAATGCCGGTGTAGTAAACAAGCATCTTGTTTGTAAACGTCGCCTTCACAAACAAGATGGCGATAGGAAGTGCCGCCATTGGGACTACCAAAGTAAATTTTTACCTTATAGGGTCGTGTCATTTTTTTTCATTTAGATTTATTTGTATAATTTTTCACGATATGCTCTACAGCTCTGTTAAAGTCCCAATCGCGTCATTCGGTCCTACAATTGTATTGCATGTATTTTTCCCATTATATAGCAAATTTGTTACATTTCATTATGCAATATAACAAGATTTCTTTTTTTCTATTCACTGACATTTTCTAGTGAAAGGGTTGAAGTTGATTCAAGTACAGAAAACGATATAGTTTAAAATCTAATATAAGTTTTGATCCATACTTCGCACTGTTTAAATTTTGTTCTATTAAGTTAAAAGTACAGTACGTTATTCTTATTGTCCCTTTTATTTACATTGTAAATTTTATAACTTCTATAACGGCTAAAATTAAGGGCTTATCACACTACTTTTTTGGAAAAAGTTCAAATAGAAGACTAATGTTAGCTACTTTTATTTGATTAAAGATGCATTTCGGACTATTACCTCCTTTTTCAGTTTAATCATCTTATAATTTATTCTTATTCAACTTTAATTATGGAAAAATAAATTTTTATTTTGTACAACAATAAACTAGGATAAAGATATACTTGTAATCTGAAGACAAAACATTTATTTTTGGAGTCCTTTTAACATCGTTTTGGCATCGTAATATATATAAAAAAAATCATATTCCGCATCATACTAAAAATAAGTTTCAGTTTTAAATATTAAAATAACAAATTCAATGTTTATATCATCCAATTTTGAGAATATTTATTAAATAGTTTCTACAATTGATATCAGCTTCTAGCCTTGATACATTTCTAAACTTCGATACGTTGCTGCTATAGCATACCTTCTCCATATATTAATTTTAAAATATGACATAGAATAGCATTATAGCTATTTATATAAATTATTTTGCAATCTAATTAATAGAGTAATATAAAATGAAATACAATTAACAGTTGTTAGGCAATTTTAAAATATTTACTTACTGCGGTATAAATTCCTGATGCAAAAGAACCATCTTTACTGTTTAAAAAACAACAGCATTGGTTTAATTGACAGCACATTTTGAATTTATTTTTTTCTTTTCCCTTCTGAAAAGATTTCGTATTAATTTATCGAACAGAATTCTTAAATCGTCGGGGTCGTAAATGAGCTATCGATGAATATAAATTCTTCATTGTTAATTTCCCGCATAATGACAATGGAATGTAGCTGTATCATGATGAACATATAGAATATAGTATTAGCATTACACAATCTACTCAAATATGTTTTCTACTCTCGTTTGTTTTGTACAATTGTACGGTGTATTTATTCTTTCGTAATAATTCGTATTATTATTAAAACAGGAAATATAATACATTATTAAAAATTAATTACTTGAAAAATTATTAATAATAAGGAAATGTCGTAACATGTATAAAATAGTTGTACTTAAAATGCGTAAATTTAATTTTGTAAGGCAAATTAATTTTTTCGTAGAAAACTAAATGTGATCCAATTAATAATAGAGCAATACTTCGTGAGGATTTAGTAAATTTATATAATAAATTTCATATACGAAGTGGTTCAGATAACACGGTCCACTTATGAATTGCCACCCTTTGCTAATTGGTTCGTGTTCGTAAATAATTATATTACCGTATTTACTCACTTATAAGACGATCTCGCATATAGGAGGAGGTTTGTTTGGGCAATGCAACACTTGGGCGATCTACCTAGGGGGGATGCCTTCCGGGAGGTCTTTTTAGGGGAAACTGGCCCCTATTTAGACGTTACAGACGTGGAGAAAACCCGGAAAACTCCACGTGGCCAGCCCATCCGAGCGAGGCGCGAACCCGCGACCGAACTCCCAGTGTTCGGAGAATGAAGACCGCTTGGCCACTGGTGGGCCACGGACGAGGTGTGACTTTAAAGATTAAAATAAAGAAAATTAGATTTATTAATATAATTTCATTTTATTTCGTTTAATCACAAATAAAATGTCAAATGCACGTAAATGCACACATTGTCCCGCAAAAATTACTGGCATTTTAAAGTTTAAGGAAAAATCTTGTAAAATCGACAACGTAATTTGTTAATGTAAAACCGGACAAGAACCTTTTTTGCCAATTCTTAACAGTCGAATCCACTTCGTCGATTACACTTATGAGTTTCTCCGAATTCTGATTGCCGAATAATATAAATTTTGGAATTTAAATCTTGAATTCAATTCAGAAGCTTTGCTTTTCCTATTGCTATTCATCTTTACTCCTGACAATCAATACCCAAGAATGATCGAAACGACCCAGATAAAATAATTTTGTTTTTAAACACCAGAGGGTGAGCATCCGGTAAAAAATGCGAACACGTGGTTCACAAAAATTATTGCAAAAATGCAAAGAATCCTTCCCTCGCGCGTATAGGACGACCTAGGTTTTTGAACCAATCAAAAATGAATAAAAAATCTCGTTTTATATGCGAATCATTGAAATGTCGTGATAATTTGAATCGGCGTAAATTTTGAGTTTTCTTTAAGGCTTTGAGCAGATCGCGTTATATGGAATCAGCGTTAAGCGGGGTCTTACTGTATTTTCATTTATTCTAAAGTAATGTTATATTTTGGAAAGTTTAAACAGGAATTTGCATTTTACACATACGCATTTTAGTTGCGTTTATTGAACTTTTTCAAATCGTATTATATATATAAATACAGTGAAACAAAAAGATTTTCCGAATGCTCGTGTTAAAAAATTGACAAATTACAGTTGAGTCCGCATAAGTCGACACCTGAAGGGGAAGTTATCCGATATGGCAACTAAAACAAAGTTTAAAAAAATCACAAAACTATAATTAGGAAAACAGTGGTGCTTTATGCAGTACTATAGGCTTACAATACATCGTATACTCCATTTACAATAATGCTGTAGATGATAAACTAAAAATTCGTTTGTTGTTGTTTTGAGGATTTAACTGTCTCGACTTTCTTTTCAACAATCATGAATGCCTTGAAAACATCATCTTCGCAACTGTCAATTTTCGGCAACGTCTAAGGATTCTTAATGCCTCTAACGCGTCGGTTTTGGGGTTAGCTCTTCTAGTGTTTCATTCTCATCTCCAGATTCGTTATTCCTGTCCTGAATTTCTGCAACAATATCGACAACACTCGCAGGGGAACACACCTCCACGCAATCATCCACTGTGCTGTAGTCGATTTCATACCCCTCCTGTTATTATTTTATATATATAAAAAATACATAAAATGTTAAGGTATTTTTATTAATATATATACAGTATATTAATAAGTTGACTCCCCTCCTGAAAAAATGAGTTCACATTACACAGTAAGCTGTGTGATGTGAACTCATTTTTCAGGAGGGGAGTCGACTTATCTAACGTCTAAACGAGTGTGGGACAGAAAAAAAGTATGTCGATTTATCCTGTGGTGACGAGTTAAACGGTGTACCGGCGCGTATCAAGTCCTCAACCAGTGTTTTTAGTCAGTGGTGCAGTATAAGTGTCGGATGCAGAACGATACACCGGTGATTTCTGTGTAAAATTTTTTGCGGCAGTCTTGATCGGGATTCGAATCCCTGATTCTTCATGGAATGCTATCACTGTCTAGTGGAGCACCCAGAGGGGGTTTTAGGAGCCTTGGCACCCTACAAAGAAAAATGAAAACAAACACTAGAAAATTTTCCAAAAATCTTTCCTTAATTAAAATTCAGTCCGACGGTCAGGCTGGTGTAGTTTTTCGGATTTCTTCACGTCGTTAAAGCCTGAATTTTCCCTTAAAAGACCTCCCAAAAGAGATATTCCCCGATTGGTAGATCGCCCTCGAGTTGGTAAAACGAACCAATCAATACGTAGAAAAAGAAATCATTTACTTTGAGTGGCTCATACTCTACTTAATCAATTTCAATTTTTCGCGTAGTGTATAAGTTAATAATAATAGTATAAAAGTTATTATTTGAGTAAGATATTTTTCAGAAATGCAGTCAATCAAGTATTGCGCGATGTTTTGTAATATTGGTTGGGTAATAGCAAAAACATACCGAGCCCGGCGTAGGGTACGACTCTAGGTGGTGTGAATATATTCGTTTAAATGAATAAAGCTATTTTCTGAAAGTATAGAGCACGTTGCAATTGTTAGGCATGAAACTTTGATGTGAAATGACCTTTATAGATGAATATCTTTTTGATATCTAATTTATCGAAGTGTCCGTTTTCTAAGAAATATTTACATACGAAAACTTATCGCCTTTCTACGTTATATTAAACAAACCTAGACTATTTCAAATAACTAACCCAACGCTTTCATACTTAAAGCTATTTTCTCTCCAATTGCAATTTTAAATGCTTAAGAGAAAAACCTTCAATAAACTGCGTATTCTCTGTTGACCTTTGTCCGAAAAAAAAAAAAAATATGTTCGTTCCGTAGAGAAACCATGATCGATCAGGATTCGATTTTTAGAAATTTTTAATCGAGCTCAGAAAACTCGCTTTCCACTTATTCAAAGATTGAATTTGGTGGCTAAATTTAAGTTATTCCAGAGATTTTCTTACTAAACATTTTATAGTTTTAATCGAATATCTGACTTATGATCTGAACTTAAATGTATATTGGCTATAAACAATCTCTAACTCATTACAATAAAATTAAGATACAAAAAATTTCAAATTGAATAAATAATCCCACGCAACTATTATCACAGATAAACATTAATACCTTCTGATTATACTTATGCAAATAACTAATGTTATTAACGTGCATGTCTCTAAAACTTCCCGTGGACAAATACTGTATCTAACATTGTTCTTTTCGTTGGTGTGATGTAAACCTAATCACTGATATTTCTAGACTTTTGTAGGACTAGAGTATACTTAATATATATTGTCTTCTGAAGAGGATTACAAGCATAAGTACAGTATTTTAAAGTTAATATACAGTATTTTTAGTCATCCTAGAATAGCATAACCAAAAACAAAAAGAATATGTCTCGATTATTTTTGGTGGTAATAATTACAACGTCCCACCAATTATATCTTTTTAACACTTAAGATGGAAGAAAATTACTATTTTTTATAATATATCCTGTAAAAACATTTTATTCTGAACCATTCCAACTCTATAATCTTTTCAATCATTTTAATAATATCATGAAATAAATTTGTAATTAACAACAGACACTACTTTGGTACAGAAAAAAAATCTTACTATCCCCTTTATCATCATTTAATTTCAAAAAGATTTTGTCTTTTTTTGAATGTTCTGTTTTTAAAGAGAGAACTAAGAATAAAAGTGACGGCTTGCTTACAAAATATGGAAACTGATTCAAAGAAACAATCATGAAACGGTACCATTTCTGTAATTTTATCTAATTTATTAAAAACAGATAAAAATGTAGGAAAGTTAAGTTTGTCACTTAAAATATATTACATGTCATCTTTTCTTAAATATGTTTATAATTAATATGTTAGATTTCCATTTTAATTATTTTCCACACTAATTGCAAAAGATTTTATTGTTTACATTTTTCAAAATCTTTCTAATTTTTGAGATAACTGTCTTAGGATTAATTAATTTTTTTTTATAAACAGTCTGTTCAATAAAAAAGTATTATATTAATAAACACAATATACAAAACAAGTAGTGAAAATGTTAGTTTATAAAAATAAAAAGAGAAAAACTATTCTAAAAATATAGAATATTTAAAAGATATCAGAAAAATAATAGTTTAACTATTATTTTTCTGATATCTGTATACTACATATCATCATATAGAATGTGTACGTAGATATCAGAATCTACCACATTATTATTTGTGTATATCACACTTGCGGCTACAGTTCTCTCAAATTGTTTAGAACAACAACTTTAAGCCACAGTTTCCATTGACAGCCAAGCTTGTACTATGATCTGAGGTTAAGAGAGAAACTTTTTGACAAGCTCTGCCATCAGAACAGCATTAATTAATTAAAAAAATTAAATATAAATTAGTAATTTGTAATACTCTAATAATTTATCAAGTCTGTTCCTATACCTTTATAATATGAAATATTTAATATTTCATTCACATTACTAGCGATAAAAAAAAAATATATTAAAGCGAGCTCATAAATTTGATAGCTTCTATTCACATTAGAAATACATAATAAGTATCAATCATTATGATAAATTACATAATTATTTTTATGCAGTTGAATAGCCAGATGTAAATTTAGTATTTTTTATAAATAATTTTAATTTTATGCCTCCTGTAACAGGAATATTCTTATTTACAAAATAAAGTTTATAATTATAATGAATAAAAAGTTTAGTTTATTGAAATTCAGATAGGTCAGTAAATGTGATATAAACATCATGAACTTTTCTATAATTAATTAAAAGTAGTGTTTTTTAATGAATTATGGAGTAATTTAGTATTTATTTGATATGATATACAGTATATGCAACACAGTTATACATATTCAAATGTATGGTATCTTATTTCAGATGTTTTTGAATGCACTTTGAAAGCAATAATAAATAAATAAACCAGCCGTAATTTATAAAAGAAACTGTATAATCTTTCTTTGTTTTCAGAATTTCTAAATAATATGATATAATGTGTGCTACAATATTTATATTTAGAGTAACAACTTAAAAAATGTGTAATACATAGTCCCAATTTATGTTTATTTCTCTAGGTACACACCCCTCCACACTTCTCTCATTGTTTTGGCAACAATGCTCTGTCTACTGAATAGAAGTCTTTTGGCTGGTATAGGAATATGGTCCTGTGCACAATGGAAGTGATCAACAGACTCGGTTGATCTGTATACATAGAACTGTATACATACAACAGAACTGTATACATAGCCCAGAACTTCCCAACCGGGAAGTTCTGGGCTATGTATACAGTTCAGATCTATCACAACCTGTTTGGTTCTTTATAGGAAGTTTAGAAGAGAGGTGATTCACCTAGAGCATTGAAGTCTCTGACTTCATAATGCAGTGGCTCTGACACCAGCCAAAAGATTTCTATTCTGCAGGTGTATGTCATTGCCAAAACAATGAGAGAAGTATCAGCATCTAGAGTATCTAAAGAAAGAAACATAAATTGGGACTACGTAATATACACATTTCCATTACATTACTGAAATTCTGTACACAACTTTAACTGCCCTTGTATATTCAAAAGCAATTATTAAAGCTATCAAATTATGCAATTAGAATTTTCTAATTCAGATTTTGTAATATAATATTAGAAAATCATCATTATATTTGTTAATTAGATTAGATTTCAAGTCATACAAATTACACAAGTATTTTTTGCATTATAAATATTTTGACTCCTATAAATAATATTACCAAATGCATACAGCCAAACCTCAATTTAGTGCCATCACTTGTTTACCTCTAAAATTGACACTAAACCGAAAGATCTCAAACAATAAAAATTATATAAAGCATGAGACCTACATACAAGTTTGAGTTTGGAGTTGAAAGTCACAGTGCAAAATTGTGTTTAGTAATTCACAGTAACTGAAGGTTGTCTATTTAATATTTATGGGAAAAATTGATTCAAAAGTATTTATTGGGGCATTAGAGATGATGCTATATCAAAGTAACACTGCATTTATTTTAAATGATATTTCAAGAATTTAATAACAGATATAACAATATAGGCTTAAACCTTATTAAGTAATTTTTCTATTAGAAATTCTTTAACAATTATCAAAATTATATTTGATTTTTAAGTCACTTGAAATAATAAAAGAAATAATACAAAATCTTTGAAATTTCTGAATATATAATTTTAATATAATCATCATAATTTAATGCTATTGCCCAAATATCTCATCTAATTTGTGCTACTACATACTTATACCCTTAAAAAAATTTTAGTGTAACTACATTAGAGTTATAAAAATAGATTTATAATTTTTTATTAACACCCAACCTTCTTCACCCCTTTCAATTCTTAAAGCTACTTTATCCAAATAGATAAATTCTACCAAAATTTATAAGATATACTTTAAATATTCTTTCTGAATTATATCTGCAGATCTCCATCAATCAAAATATTCATTTATTTGAAAAACTTTAACTTCATTAAATATCCTATTTTTCAAGGTCAAGTGGTATTATAATTGTTTTTAGATATATCTTCAGATTGAATGTAAATTATTAATGATATATATTCACTTACCACTATACTGTGTCTTTTAACTGTGTATTGTTCATCTGTTATCTGATTTGAATTTATTCATTCTGGTCCTTTTCTAAATTTACGTATGAAGTGTCCCACAAAAAGAGGTCAATATTCCAAATGGTGAGAAGATAAGTTATTTTAAGCAAGAAAGTTCAAATAAACATGTACCCTATCCCAAATGAGAAACACTTGAATATTTATTTTTCCAATAGTTTATAATAAATTTTTTAAAAATTTCACTGTCAACTTTAATGGATTTTTCTACTGTATGAGAACTGTGTTGCTTGTCTGAGTGTATATGTGCTGTACATACATTTACATGATCTATCAGTTCATCCGGTACATCCATCTTCCTTCAGTTTACTTCATTCTTCATCCAATTCTATAAACAAAATACTAACAGCATTAGATCTTAAGATCTTGGTGGCCAGTTAATTAATGGCATTATCATGATCAATCCACTGATTAGGGAAAATGCTATTGAGATGTTTCACATTCCCGATAGAATGAAGTCCATCACACTGAAAGTACATAGCATCCCATGTAGCCAAAGGAATGTCCTATAGTTAATTACCTTCAAATTTTACAAAATACATTAGGTGCATGTGTCCTGTTAGTAATGTTCTAAAATAACAGGATCTATCAATCTGTCATTGATCATACTGCATCACACACTGACTGTAAAATTTCAGCTCTATTTCTGAAACTATTTAGAACAGAGCACATACAGTACTTATATAAATTTTTTTGCTTAAAATAACATATCCCCACCTCTCAGAATGTTGATCTTCCTCCTGGGACACCCCATGTATAGTTTTTAGGATTTTTCTTGAAATGAAACAATAAACAAAGAAAAAACAGTAGATCTATCTGCAAATATACATTAAGTTTATATATGCAAAAAAAACAAGATCATATGCAGAAAATATATCAACTGCTTCTGTTTTCAAACCTTTTCTCAAAGGTCTTATATCACAAACCAGACATAAGAAAAAAGAATGAATGCTTATGCAGTTTTTAAATGACCTACGTGTATTTATTCAGAAGTAATGTGACAAATTCTTAAAAGTATCTATAAGTTCTAAAGATAGTTTTAATCTTTCAGCTGCCTGTCAATCTGTTAAGACAAATTCAAAAATATAGTTGAAACCATATATCTGGCTCTTAGCAAAGATTTTTTTTTTTTTTTAAATTAAAGTAATAAAAGAATGTATGGTGTTTAATTAACTGTAAAATAATATCTTTCAAACCCAATTTATTATTTGAAGAAAAATTGATCATTAAAATTTTTCGAATTTTTGTCTTTCTTTCCTTTAAATTAAATAAAAAATTTTTAAAAATTGTCTTTCATTTCTTTTTAATTTACTAAGATAATTGTTGATGCACTTGTAGAAAACTGTTTGTTCAATAAATGTTTATAATATATACTAGTTTTTTTATACAAGTAACCTTTGTAAATTTAGTAAGTTCTTAATAATTGAGCTTCTCTTTATTTTTAATGTGAAGTTCTCTAATGTGACAGATATTTCAAGAAAGATCAAACAGCTTTTTTACTTCCAAAATTTAGGCTGGTTTATTTATTATCAGTTTTATTCAAAAGAAGTATGCAAGAATACTATAGCATGTGGTTATTTCTAAAAAATAATTTTGGAATTCTTACAGTATAACTTTAAGTATTAAGAAGGCAAATGTATTTGTTTACTATGTAGTTTAAATTTTGGGAAGAAAAATCTGTTAGAATTTTTTTTATCACTTTTTTGATTTGATTATTTATTTGATATTGTAAATTTGGTCTACTGACCAATTAAAATTTGAGGATTTTTTTTATAGTTAGTAATAATTATAACAATACATAGTTTTATTACAAATAAGATTTCCCATTTCATATTGGCCTTAAATTTAATGTATATTTTCTAATTTCCATAGATTAGCATGATCTGTATTCAAAATTATAACTTCTATTTCAATACGTAGATGAGTTAAACATAATTAAAATATTAAATGTTTCATTTATGTTTTCCAGAAATGTAAACTCTTGTTCTACTTTTTGCATGTTTTGTAATATAAAGTTTTTAAATGTTAATGCATGTACATAAATTAATACATTTTGTCTGTTATAATTTTCCTCATAAAATTTTAGGTTCAATAACTATACACTATAAATGAAAACAATCTAAAATATATAATACATAACTAAATAAATATTTTATTTAGCTTTATCTAATTAATTTACTATATGAATTATTTGATTTTTATAAATATGTTAAATATAAAAATTTGTAAGGGTAAACAATTTTTATATTTAAAGTTTTGTATAAATATATTAGTTTTTAAAAGAAAAGTTTTTGTTTTGAAAAATAACATTAATCAAAATTCTAACATGGAGAATATTGAATTTTATTTTATTTTTTCACTGTTTCAATAAACTATCACTTTATACTAGTAATAAATTAATGGTAGTGTGTGTAGGTGTGTACATCCACTCAGTGCTAAGTAAAACCTTAAGAAGTCTACTAAACACTGAGTGAAGATATTTTAAATGTTTTTTAATATAATGTATTTAGTTCTACTTTGATTGCATTGATGGAAACTTTACATTGAATGAAAAGATAAAAGTATCTAGTAGAAAATTATTTAACACAATTATATCATAAATGTAAAAAAGATCTTAGGCAGGGCAGAATTTTATTAGAAACATTTCTACTGGCTTATAAATTAGGACTGTATATTTTAGTCCAAAATCCAGTTAGATTCTTTTGCATCAAAGACCCTGTTCTTGTTGCTAGGAAATAAAAGTACATATTTGTACACAAAGCTACACAAATCAATTGCAGCAGATAAAATATAATAAAAATTTTTGTAACATCACAATTACATTTACAACATCTTGATAAACAAGATCAGAAGAGCATCCTCTCCTGGTTTCTATTTAATTGTTAAAATGCACAATATGTAGCATAGAAAATGAATTACACCATATCTGATAAATCACAGAAATATATAAGATGCTATGAAAATAATAATAATAAAACCCACAAAAATTCAAGTATTGAATATTCAGCAAACATTTTATCACTTTTATTGCTTTGGCCAACCTAATTATGAACAATAACCAAAGCAGACATTCTTGATTTGTTTTATAAATAAGAAAATCTTTTCTTCTGAAAAACAAAATTCACTGGTAGAATATAAGAATAAAAATCATAACAGTAATGGCCATATAAAAATCACAGTCAATACCTATTTGTGGCATAGAAATTATGTGATAACTAACTACTATGCAGCAGTTATTCCTGACATCTATGGTTCTATTATCATTCTGTTAATAGGCAAAGCCACAAAAAAATGGCTTGCAGTCACAAATGGCACAATAGTTATAAAATTATTATATGGCAAAGTATTATACAAACCTAATTTCAGAAAAAGATTTATTGAAATGATGTACACATATATATATATACATGCATACATATATACATACATATATATGTTTATATGTATGTATGTAATATATATATTTAAACCACTGGCAACTGGTTGCTAATGCTTCTTGGTGTATTAGATAGGATATATTTACCAGGAACTGATCCCGTTCTTACTAATTAACTGCCACTCAGAGCAGTCTGGAAGATAAAAACTTTATTAGCAAGCAAGTTCTCTTACTGCACTATTTATTTACACACTGGAAGGAAAAAAACAAAAGATATTTTAAGACATTCAATACTTGATGTCATCCTTTGGTTCATCACTATAATCTTGGAGTTAAATCAAGTAACTATATAGGAAAGGGTAGAGTTTTTTTAAGTTGCCATATGCAAGCCAGTTCTTATTTACATCATAACCAATATTAGCTCTTGTGTTTGAGCATGGTTTAAGTTGTCACTGGCTTCCTAATGCAATTTAGCAGGATGTATTCCCGTTTATGGGTACTCTATACATTTCTGCAGGCAAAGAAATTATAATTGATGTTACAACCAAATCAATGGTTGTTTTCAAGGCCTTTGGTTTTTAACTAGGCTTGAAGCCCCAGTCCTTGCATAAATATAGTGAGCTAAGGAGACTTAATGTTGCACATATTTAATAAAGCAATTTATTATGTTTATTTTATCAGACACAATTTAGATGCTATCTGTGGAAAAAGCAGAGATTGTCATTTTTTTTAACTATATTGGATGTGCTCCAAGGAACTTTTCTTCTATACTATGTGTGATGATTAATCCATTGTAAAATTGTCCTGAGTACATCCAGTGGGATCATGATGATTATAGTTTTAGATAATGATTGGCAATACTGTTTTCACTGATGTTTTCAACAAGCAAAAATGGGTGAGGACAAAGGCAATAACTGAAGGCTTCCTCTGAAAATAATAATAATGACAAAATTATGAAATTGTTAGGAGCACTTCTCTCAGTATCAACCAAAACATTATGTCTTGATTTTTCTGCTAGTAGATTCAATAATTCATAAATAGTTTTTCATTCTATTCCAAAAGTACTCGATTCTTCAACTGCCAACAGAAGTTTTTCATAGAGCATTTCAAATGAGGTATATGGGGGCAAGTCCAATCGGTTGAAACAAGTGTGAGCACTATACAAGAAAGAAATTAAATAAACAAACAAACAAAAAACTAATCAAGATTAATTAAAATAGCTTTTCATACCGAGGCAGGCTGCTTGGATTTCCCCATTTCTCAATGCAGAATTTACGTGGTCCGTTACTACCCCTTAATGCTGCAAAACCTTCGTATGGTATACTGGATGTGCCTGTTACAAATTGCAATAATCGAAGTCTACGTTCATTATCAAATCTTTCTATGGCTGTCCAAAACCACTGTATTACTGGATGATTGTCATGATAACCTAAAGCAAAAGAAACATTTTAATGCATTTAAATCAGAAAAAATTGTTGAAAAAAATTTACTATTACAAAATACAATCATCTTGCTACAAAAAACAAGTATCTATATATTGAATTATTCAACTCAACTTTGCAAAATACATAAAAACTATCTAATAAAATAGGCTTTTAATTATGTACATAATCAAAAGCCTACTTTATTGGTTATAATTCACTGTATTTCAATAAGTTAGTAATAACTTATTAAATTATTAAAATGCTTTAATATGTAACATTTTTTACCAGAACGATACTCGCTGTTTTTCCTCCAATCAGCAATATCTATTTCAGCCGTTCCAGCAATTACTAACTCCAATTCACGAGCATCAAATACTGAAACTAATCTTGGATCAATAACCTAATGAAAATAAAAACAAGTTCAAACCCTTTTCATAGTATATTTAAAAAAAATAATAAAATATCATATATGAGTTTATTAACATAAATTAATAATGTAATTAATGTTTTGCCTAAAAATTATTAATTACTCTTTTTATATTACACGAAAGAACCACTTAGATATGCTATATCAAGTATTTTTATATAACTGTAAAAGTCAAGAAAAACAGGGTTATTAAAAAATTTTAAACTAAATTTTAATAAAATGAGAAAATATAAATTATGAATCAGAATTACAATTCAGATTATTTTTTTCAAATTTAGTTTAAAAACAGCCTTAAGAAAATTGAATTTTTCCATCAGATGTCTAAAGAAATTAATTTGCCTGAAATGAATTTCTAAAAGTCAACAGTACTTATATGTTTTTTCTATCTTACAATAGAACATTCAAGCTTTAACAACCTGGATTTTGCTGAAATTCTAATGTGTCTTATTATATCCTTTCCACTAATGAACATTAACATAAACTATTGTTCATTGGAATAAATCGAGAAATCATTTGTTTAGATTTTCATTGTGTTTGTTATATGTATGAGTATTATGAGTAGTATGGTCAATGTACCAGGTTGAAAAGTTCAACATCACAGTTCAATCTTGCTTTTTTTCCTATTTTTGTAACTTTTTCTGAAGGTTACTATACAATGAATTTAAAAAAATATATTTGGTCCAAAATACTATTTAATAATTATTAAAATAATGCACATCCAGGTACATGTAAAGGCTGTGAACAAAACTCGAAGAATGATAATCCCATGTAATGTTTTGTAACAAATTTATTTGTGTGTTACATAATTTTAAAATAGTTTCTCTGTATTTTTAATTGAATAGTAAATCAATACTATTTGAACAGTTCTTGGTTTAAAAATAAGTGAATGATTTTAATAAATACAAAATAGTATTTTTTGGGCCAAATATATTTTATAATATACTGGATTGTATGTTCCAGAAAAAGTTGCAATAAAGCAGGATTGAATTGTGATGTCAAACATTTCAACCTAGCACCTTCTTGGCCATATCTACTCATTTAATTTGTTTATAGTACTTGGTATATAATGCACACAGAAAAGTTTAAATAATGACTTCTTGTAACTACTGTTCATTGGTACAATTGATGTTACTGTGCATTAGTGGGAGATGTACTAAAACCAATTAAAGTTTCAGTAAAATTTAGGATGTTAAAGCTTACAAAGGAAATTTCCTTGATGTCACTAACCAATTTTGACAAACCATGTCAAATGGAAGGGCTTAATAAAACATCATATTTTTATTTGAAGAATAAAAAGTGTTAGAGAGAGATTGACAACAATGTATTACCACACACAATTTAAAATAACTCACAATGCATACAACATATGCTAACACCAATATAATAATACAGAACATTAAAAATCCTTTTGGTTGATATATCATATGTCAAATTTTAACAAGTAGTAACTTTGAAAAAAATAATGAGATAAATAACGTTTTTTTCTCCAATTCCCCCACCCAGGGATGACCCCCATGGACACAGTTTGAACACTTTCCATAGGTTAACATAAAACTTTGCTGAAACACACAGCAATGATCATAATTAGTGAATGTTCCCTTGGCAGCTATTTGCACATATAGAATTGAATTTTTAGGATTACTAAATACATTTTTTATAGATCTAGTGTACAAAATTATGTTGATGAACAGTCCTCATCTAATCAGTTTTTTTTTGTATGAAAGTACATGAAAACTTTAATGAGCCATAACTCATTTACTACTTACAATTGCATACTAAAATATTATTTTCAGAATATATTCTTAATTATCTTTCATTCTTAACTCAATTAGTGACATCAAGTCCCTTGTTAAAGGATTTAATATTATATTTTAAAACAACTTTAAATTACTTCAAATTTGAAGTAATTTAATCTTTTTGTAATATTATGTTATTGTTATGTATCCTCCACACAGTCTAGGTTTGGAACTTAGTTTAACACATGTAGCAATATATTCTACATGTTCAGAATGGACAAATCACATACTGCAATATACTTCAATCATCAAGAGGACTATGTTGGAAAAGAGTGTACCAATGATAACTGCATTGTTTATAGTTAATTTATAGAAAATTGGAAATAATTATGATAATTCAAGGAAAATACCTAACAGGAAACAATAGTTCAATAACAATAAACTTTAACCAGCTATAATTATTTTTCTTTAATTTTCATTAATATATTTATAATCGTAAAGGCAATTACTACTACATAATGACATAATAACTAACCTCATAAAATCCTTTAACTAATGATTCAGTTTGTTCAGCCACACCTCTTTCTAATCGCCATTTTACCATTTTTTCAATATATTCTTTTTTATTTCTTTCACTAACATTGAGATTGCGTCCACCAGGTTTCAATTCCTTCTCTACTACCTGTCCAGCTACATCTTCTGTAACTGAAAACGTTAAATCTAATCCCATGTCAGAAATATCATTATCTTTTAACCAAAGAAGGGACTGGTGAAATTCTGCATCCAAATATTCAAGGTCACTTAATGAACAGGGCCTAAAAATATTACATGGAATTTTTTATTTTAATTATATTATTTGTTTTGCATTCTTCATCACTTATGAAATTTATTTAGAATAAAATACAAAAAACTATAAACTTACAATCGTAAAAGAGCCTTATAAAATGGACGAGTAAAAAATGCATCTAACAAATATTGATGTACTAATGCCAGTCCTAAAACTCGTCCACTAAATCTAAACCATTCATGTTGGTTGTCAACAAATGCTGACATTGGACTAACTTGTACTGTGTATGTATCATTTGCAGAATATTCAAACAATCCATAATATGGATTGAATAATCCTCGTGATAATAGGAAGAAAAATTCTCTGGATGGACCCCCATAGTCTAATCTATATAATATGTAAAGATTATGTTACTAATTAATAATTTTATTTATTAAATTATCAAATATTTACCCTTCTTCTCCAGAAAAGCTTATGTACAAACGTGATTTCTGTAGATCTTTCTTAGAAGCTGCCATAATTTTAGTAAATGCATCTTCCAATAAATGATCTCTTCTTATATTTAATCTAAAAATTTACATTAATAATAATTATTTAAAATTTTAAATATTATCCAAGCAAATACGTAATTCTATGCCAAACTGGATTAAAAAAGAAATGAATAACAAAGCCAAGCTTTAAATAACTAGAAGAAATTTACTGATAACTAATATTTTCTGCCACATTTAATAACCTAATCAGGTTCAAATCTCAGAATATAATCTCTGCAGACAATATAAAAAAACTTCAATAACATCAGTACGTCCACTAGTAGTATTATTTATTGATTTAAAGCAGTCAGTTATTAAAGTATCAACACAATAATAAGCAACCATTAATGTAAACAAATCCCACTGTTAATTGTATTCTATATTTCTGCATTTTTCTTAATTTATTTTATTTCATTATGATTAAACAAAACTAACTGATTATAATACAGTTGTCCCTCTATAGTCCGACGTTTTTTAATCCGACATGCTCAGTAGTCCGACGCACCTCCTATCAAGGTACCCGTCCCCGTTATGTGTCTGCTTGCACAGAAGCATGTCGCGATGTGAATCTCCCCATCCAATTCTTACTCGATGACACACATTTCGATGACACACACAACAGAACTGCTCACATTTTATGTGAGCAGTTCTGTTCGAACAGTTGGAGTAGAGAATATTGTAAGTTACTGCTAGCAAAACAATGTGAAATATGTAATTATTTTTGGTAATCTGGACACTTTTGGTAATCTGACAAACCTTTGGTCCCATACCTGTCGGATTATCAAGGGACAACTGTATTTTAAGTTGCACAAAAAAAAAATAATTTAGATGTATAATTTATAAAAATGTAAAAATATGCAATCTATTGTTTATAAGAACTTTATAACTATGCATTGAAAGAATAAATAACATTGATAGATACTTTTTAATTACGCAAATCAAAGTTTTAATTCATTTCTCAATTTGCAACTTTTCTAAAAATTTTGTTGAATAAAATATTTTTAGTTGACAATTTCTAGAATTAGTTTTTCACTGCATACTTCATTTCCATTGTAACTACTGTGTTTGAAATTTCACAGTTTTTGTTTCATTAAGAAGATTCAAAATAAGTAATTCACTATAAAATATTTTCAATGTAAAAGTAAATCAAACTTTGTTTCAGTTAAGGAATATTTTACCATTAATTATGCTGTATAACCTAATCTATCTAAATATATAAAATTACTTGTCCTGACTGATTGATTCATCATCGCCCAGGGCAAACCGCTGAACCTAGAGGTGAAATTTGGTACACAGTTAGGGTACGTCATGGAAATGCACACTAAGGAGGGATTTTTTGAAATTCCCCCGTGGGGGAGAGGGAGAGCATTGAGGCTTAATCGGAAGAACACCTTCTACTGTACTAATTTAGATGCGATTTTTTGTCAATGAAGACTGAACTACGTTCAGTCTTCATTGAGTACTTAGGTGTATTAAATTGACATTTTAGATATTGTTATAAATAATTTTATATTTTTCGATTTTTTTTTAACCAAATGTTCAAACTGTTTTAAATTCAAATTTGTTATTGCATATTGGTTCGATTATAAAACGATTGTAAATGTTCCAGAAAATTGATCAAATTGAAAACAGTTTGTTTGATTCTCAACAGTAGGTGTTATATAATAATTACTATGGTTGTCGAAATACTGAATATACACTGCTGGCCATTAAAATTGCAACACCAAAAAGGAAAGCAAATAAAAAAAAGATATTTATTGTACATAAACAGTATGGCATGAAGACAAAATGATTAAATTTGCAAGCCGTTTGAGGGTTTACAGGGGTGCGAAATTAGTAGACACAGTTGCCACCACTGGCAGCTAAAACGGCCCTTATCCAGTTAGGCATGGAGTCAAACTGGGCTTGGATGACAGAAATGGGCAACTTATTCCATGCTGCTTCAAGTCCATGCTACGCTTCATTGACTGTATTAGCAGGAGAGGGGTGGCGGATCAGTCTCTCAGCAACCCATGACCAGAAGTTTTAAATTGGTGAGAGATCTGGAGACCGTGCAGGCCAGGGCAACAGTCGAATACCCTCTGTATTGAGGAAGGTCAGAACACGACGTGCAACATGAGGTCTTGCATTATCTTGTTGGAAGATGGCGTTTCGCAGGCTTCGAAGATAAGGCACAACCACTGAACGTAAGACGTCAGAAATGTACTGATCTCCGTTCAAATTACCGTCAATCAGAACTAGAGATGTGCATGTCATGTATCCAATGGCTGCCCATATCATCACACTAGGTGCAGGGCCCCTATGCCGATATCGAATACAAGCAGGTGATGAGCGGTCTCCTCGGAGCCTCCAGACACGTATACAGTCATCAGAATGCTGCAAGCAGTACCGGGACTCGTCTGAAAAGACAACATTGTGCCACTCCTGTATCCAGCTTTGTCGTTGGGCGCATCAGAGTCGCCGTCTCTCTCTATGCTGCATTGTCAAGGGAAGCCGAAGTAATGGTCGCCGTGCTGACAGTCCATGCTGCTGCAAACATCGTCGCACCGTACGAGCAGATACTGGACATGCTGCAAACAAGCACATTTCCTGACTAATAGTCCATGATATGGTAGTACGGTTTTGCATGGCCGACCTCACAATATGTCTATCCTCTCGGGCGTTAGTCATGGGAGGGCGTTGAGATCCTGCATGCTGTTCAGTAAGACCCTCAGCAACCCATCGATTCCATATTCGCATGACAGTGGTTGGATTTCGACCAGTGCGAGTGGCAATATTACGGAATGATAATCCACACTCTCGATAGGCAACAATCCTGCCTCTATCGAATTCCGACACTTGCTGGTAAGCATTTCTTCTTCTTATTCGAGGCATAACACGATATTCTGATGAAACCCCGACCTTTCAAAGCGATTTCCAAATGAGAAATCCACTGCACAACTTTTCTTTTATGCAGTGCTTCAGATGTCGTTTGTCCTTCCTGCGTCATCTAAATACGCTGAAATACTAATAATTTGCATATTCCAACCTCTTCTTCCTTTCATATGATTTTGACGTTCGTACGATCATTCCTTCCTGGTGTTGCAATTTTAACGGCCAGCAGTGTAAATGGTGTTCGTTTGCAAAATCTGCATGGAAGAAGTTGCAGGTAACAGCTAGTTTTTCATAACTTTAATGTATTCTAAAATTAAGGAAAAACTTTCACTTTTTTATTCTTAAATGCAAATCATTTTTAATCTTTAATCATACAAAAATATACAGTAGACCCCCTATAACGTGGCAAAAAAATTGCGACAATATTCGTATAAAGATGCTAAAAGGGGCGCGTAAAACGTGGTAAAATGTCATCACGGACGAGCAGCCGAACTACTTTCCGCCGTCCAGCGCCATGCTACGGAGAGTTTAGGCGAGTAAGTTGAGTTTACTATTGTCTGTACAGTATGTAAATTAGGTACTGTAAGTCTAATACAGCACTGTAATTTTATACATTTCTTGTGAATGAAACATTTCTTATTCAACGGCCATAAAAATTATTTCTATTAATGATGTCTCCAAAGTTCAACAAAGTTTTCGCAGAAAAATAACATCAGAAATTGCGGCCGCCATTTCGTGCGCTGCTCCACGACAAAAACAAGCTTAAGCAATGGCGACGTCGAACGGTGCATACTCGGTAAGTAATCCTAAAATTTTTTGTTTATAGCATAGTTAATACGGATTATTCCCAAAAAATTATACGTTTTTTGGAAATGTTAAGTCGAATTAGTCTAGAATCGATTAATTTTATGGAAGAAAACCTTTCAAACAGCCGTAGTCCCTAAACTTCACATGTGTCGGGCTGTGATTGGCTCGTGTATTTAAGGATTCCTACAATGAGGAACATATCTACGCATTATAGGGGGTCTACTGTATTTCTTTTTCAAGTTTAATAAAAGGCTGGTTTATATTTTCAAAAAAGAAAGACAAAAGTTGTTTCTATAAGAAAAATTTATAAAACTTCACACAGATTCTTTTTTTTTTTTTATCTTCAATAACAGTATAGTTTTGTTTTTAAAATATAGCAAAAGCTACAGTTATATTTTATTCATATAAAAATCTAAAATATGAATGAAACTGGTTGAGTTTAAAATTGTAAAAGTAAAATGTAATTCTATATAAAGACTTGTAATAAATGTAAATATATAAACAACAGAGAAACTGGATAATAATAATAATAATAATAATATTAACAAACAAAACTCAAAAAATTAACCTGATGATGATAGCTGAAGTTATTCAAATGTTTATCATGAAATATTTCTTGTTTTCTATTTTTTAATATGTAAATGTAAATATATGAATAAATGCTCTTGTGTTATCAAAGGTTCCTCAAACTCTAAAATAGATTTCTGTTAATAGTGTAATTTTGAATTGAGAGTTAATCATTATGTCTACATTACTTTAATTTTCCAGGCCCTTGTCCATATCCTTTTGATTCTAATTTTCTGTAAAAATTTCTTAATTTGGCTTCAAAATCTCTTCTGTAAGGAGCTGGAGCTCTTACATTAGCTCTTTGTAAACCTATTGAAAATAATTAAAAATAGCTGATATGTATAAAATGTTTAATATAGTGTTATATATGGATATTAGTGCTATTAGAAGTGTTTTATGAAAGAATTTTATAAAATAACATTATTTGGTATTTTACCTGGAGAAGCTTGTGGTGATTGCTGTGGTGAACTATGTGGTGAACGTCTTGAACCACCATTGGCAGTAGCATTAGTAGAACTAGTAGCATTAGCATTAGCAGAGGTTGAAACATTGTTACTACATTGGGCTGGGATATATGACATTATGTCTTGTTCAAATAAACTGAAAAATTTTCTTAATTAGCAATTGAAATTTCATGAAATGTAATTAATATTCTTTTTAATTATTTTTCATCAAATACATGGTAATTACATACTAGTTCTAAAGACTATTAAATTTAAAATTAAAAAAATAATTTTGAATCTGTTGTTAGCTTTCTTTAATAGACATTGCAATATTAATTTAAATCTACCTCAAAAGAATAGTTAAATCGATGTCATGACTAAGTCGGTCTAGTGCCATAGTTCCATCAGCCCGAATTGCATTCACCTTATCCCTGAGTGCCTGATTTGAAGATATTGGAGGATGCCGTTCTTTTAAAATATCCATTATATTGGGTTGCCGTAAAAATGCTACTACTTTATCATTATAGGCAGTTGGCACATTTGGTACAACATGTGGAGCCGTCGAAGTTGTGCTTGATGGTGGTCTTGGTGGTGGAACTGGTCCTTGTGTTGTAGCCTATTAAAAATAAAATTATAAAGTATAATTATTCATACAATTAAATATAAAAAAAATATTATTACATTGCTCTTAGTAATTAAACATTTTAAATGTCTACCTTCAAAATATTAATAGCATTTTTTACTATTATTATTATTATTGTTATGTTTAGTGAATTATACTCGGTTCACACTGGTGGCTGTGTACTATGCCGGACCAGAGTCAAGGCATAGCAACCAAAACAAAACTAAAATTAAATAAGTGTGTCTGTGTCTGTNAATCTAAAAATTTACATTAATAATAATTATTTAAAATTTTAAATATTATCCAAGCAAATACGTAATTCTATGCCAAACTGGATTAAAAAAGAAATGAATAACAAAGCCAAGCTTTAAATAACTAGAAGAAATTTACTGATAACTAATATTTTCTGCCACATTTAATAACCTAATCAGGTTCAAATCTCAGAATATAATCTCTGCAGACAATATAAAAAAACTTCAATAACATCAGTACGTCCACTAGTAGTATTATTTATTGATTTAAAGCAGTCAGTTATTAAAGTATCAACACAATAATAAGCAACCATTAATGTAAACAAATCCCACTGTTAATTGTATTCTATATTTCTGCATTTTTCTTAATTTATTTTATTTCATTATGATTAAACAAAACTAACTGATTATAATACAGTTGTCCCTCTATAGTCCGACGTTTTTTAATCCGACATGCTCAGTAGTCCGACGCACCTCCTATCAAGGTACCCGTCCCCGTTATGTGTCTGCTTGCACAGAAGCATGTCGCGATGTGAATCTCCCCATCCAATTCTTACTCGATGACACACATTTCGATGACACACACAACAGAACTGCTCACATTTTATGTGAGCAGTTCTGTTCGAACAGTTGGAGTAGAGAATATTGTAAGTTACTGCTAGCAAAACAATGTGAAATATGTAATTATTTTTGGTAATCTGGACACTTTTGGTAATCTGACAAACCTTTGGTCCCATACCTGTCGGATTATCAAGGGACAACTGTATTTTAAGTTGCACAAAAAAAAAATAATTTAGATATATAATTTATAAAAATGTAAAAATATGCAATCTATTGTTTATAAGAACTTTATAACTATGCATTGAAAGAATAAATAACATTGATAGATACTTTTTAATTACGCAAATCAAAGTTTTAATTCATTTCTCAATTTGCAACTTTTCTAAAAATTTTGTTGAATAAAATATTTTTAGTTGACAATTTCTAGAATTAGTTTTTCACTGCATACTTCATTTCCATTGTAACTACTGTGTTTGAAATTTCACAGTTTTTGTTTCATTAAGAAGATTCAAAATAAGTAATTCACTATAAAATATTTTCAATGTAAAAGTAAATCAAACTTTGTTTCAGTTAAGGAATATTTTACCATTAATTATGCTGTATAACCTAATCTATCTAAATATATAAAATTACTTGTCCTGACTGATTGATTCATCATCGCCCAGGGCAAACCGCTGAACCTAGAGGTGAAATTTGGTACACAGTTAGGGTACGTCATGGAAATGCACACTAAGGAGGGATTTTTTGAAATTCCCCCGTGGGGGAGAGGGAGAGCATTGAGGCTTAATCGGAAGAACACCTTCTACTGTACTAATTTAGATGCGATTTTTTGTCAATGAAGACTGAACTACGTTCAGTCTTCATTGAGTACTTAGGTGTATTAAATTGACATTTTAGATATTGTTATAAATAATTTTATATTTTTCGATTTTTTTTTAACCAAATGTTCAAACTGTTTTAAATTCAAATTTGTTATTGCATATTGGTTCGATTATAAAACGATTGTAAATGTTCCAGAAAATTGATCAAATTGAAAACAGTTTGTTTGATTCTCAACAGTAGGTGTTATATAATAATTACTATGGTTGTCGAAATACTGAATATACACTGCTGGCCATTAAAATTGCAACACCAAAAAGGAAAGCAAATAAAAAAAAGATATTTATTGTACATAAACAGTATGGCATGAAGACAAAATGATTAAATTTGCAAGCCGTTTGAGGGTTTACAGGGGTGCGAAATTAGTAGACACAGTTGCCGCCCCTGGCAGCTAAAACGGCCCTTATCCAGTTAGGCATGGAGTCAAACTGGGCTTGGATGACAGAAATGGGCAACTTATTCCATGGTGCTTCAAGTCTATGCTACGCTTCATTGACTGTATTAGCAGGAGAGGGGTGGCGGATGAGTTTCTCAGCAACCCATGACCAGATGTTCTCAATTGGCGAGAAATCTGGAGACCGTGCAGGCCAGGGCAACAATCAAATACCCTCTGTATTGAGGAAGGTCAGAACACGACGTGCAACATGAGGTCTTGCATTATCTTGTTGGAAGATGGCATTTTGCAGGCCTCGAAGATAGGGCACAACCACTGGACGTAAGACGTCAGAAATGTACCGATCTGCGTTCAAATTACCGTCAATCCGAACTAGAGATGTGCATGTCATGTATCCAATGGCTGCCCATATCATCACACCAGGTGCAGGGCCC